GATGCGCTCTCCGCGACCGGTCTCAGAGCTCTCCGATATGCGCAGGAGATTCCGTTCGCAACCTCTATCACAGCGAACGACATGTCGCAGAAAGCTGTAGACTCTATTGGACTGAACGTACGGCACAACAAGCTTCAAGAGAAGATTACCGCCAACACTGGCAACGCCATAGCCTACATGTATAGCTTCTGTGACAAGAACGGCTATGACGTGATCGATCTTGATCCCTATGGCACAGCAGCACCATTCATCGACTCGGCCATACAGGCCATCAACGACGACGGCTTGCTATGTGTGACTTGTACCGACTCTGCCATCTTCGCGTCGCATGGCTACTTGGAGAAGACGTACTCACAGTATGGTGGCTTGCCCTTCAAAGGCGAACCATGTCATGAGGGGGGACTTCGGCTTATCCTTCACGCCATCGCTTCTTCAGCAGCTCGGTATGGTATGGCTATCGAGCCTTTACTATCCTTATCGATTGACTACTATATCCGTGTTTTTGTACGAGTGCGGAAGTCACCCAATGATGTCAAGTTGCTTGCTGGGAAGACCATGATCGTATACCACTGCGAGAGCGGGTGCGGTGCTTGGTCAACGCAATTCCTCGCACGCAACAAAGTAATCAAGAACAAGAAAGGCGACCCGTTCTATAAGCATGGCTTTGCTCAAGGGCCTTCCGCAGACTCGCATTGTCAGCACTGTGGTTTCAAGACCCACCTGTCGGGTCCAATGTACGGTGGCCCCCTACACAATGTAGGCTTCATCGAAAGGGTCCTAGCTCAGCTAAATGAAGTGGATCGCGAGATCTACCCCACAGCAGACCGGATAGAAGGCATGTTACACACAGCCCTCGAGGAGATCACATTCGGCAGCAAACAAGAGACATCGAACGGCGCACAGAAGACACAAGTCCTCGACCCTCTCATCCCAAAGGCGGACCCAGCAGAAATCGACCATCACCCTTTCTTCTTCATACCCAGCTCAATCTCGAAAATTATTCACTGTTCATCACCTCCATTGGCGTCATTGCGCGGCGCATTACGACATGCCGGCTTCCGCGTCACCATGAGCCACTGCAAGCCAGGCTCGATCAAAACAGATGCTTCATGGAAGGATATCTGGCACATCATGCTCGAGTGGGTTCGTCAGCGAGCACCGCTAAAAAACAGGCTCAAAAAGGAGACCTCAGGACATGTGATTATGGCAAAAGCAAGCGCCAGTGGATATACTAGGAGTTCACTCGCGGAAGCGGCCACTGCTAAAGCCCCAGCAGATCCTATGGCAGATGTGCAGAAGAGTGAAGAGAAGGGTGATGCGGAGGAGACAGTTCAGAAGGATCTACCGTCATATCTAGATGCAAAGTACGAAGTCAACTTCGATGAGAAACTTGGCAAAGATCAGGATAGAGGCAAATTTGTACGGTACCAAATTGCGCCAAGGGAGAATTGGGGACCAATGTCAAGGGCGAAATGATCTAGTTGAACCATGCATATCAATATCATATATATTACTTACAATGCCACTCTCAAATTTCGGCTATCGTGGTCATCTTCCCCCACGGCGCACACAGACTTCAAGCTTGCATTTCGAGAAGTGACAATAAATATAGCTGGGGATATACATAAGCATTTTAGAGCTCTTCTTCATTACTATTATACGGGGCTGTAGTGGCTACAAATTACATGAAGCCTAACACGAGGATAGTAATTTAGAGGCCTGGAAGCAGGCGCAACTCAATAGAGACGGGCTCCTTCATCCGAAATAGGTGCATGGAGCCCACACATCTACCTCTTAGAAGTTGATCACTTAGACATATAACACATTTGGCACGTACACATAGCTTGCACTCAAAACAGAACTGCTCATCGAGCTCATGTAGGTTGCAGTGAAGTACTTTCTTCTACTCTACATACTAATCATCACATTTGTCGTCATCATCTCGACCTACGAGCACCCCACCCTTCCTCACACCCACTCCCACATCTCCTCCACGGTCCACTCATAATCGTGGTACTTCAGCACCGTACCCACTGCCAGCACCTCAGGCCTGAAGGTGGTGCCGCAGGGCAGGTGCTGATCGCCCACCCGGGCGGTGCGCACCCACTTCGCCGCCTCCTCCCCATCTCCCTTCCCCTCATCAAACTCCCACCGCTCAACAGTGCAGTACCCGCCCTGCATCACAATACCCTGACAGTACTGGCCCACGCGAACGATCAGACCTCTCACGCCAGCGGCGTCAGCCTGGAGGCGCATGACAACGCAGATCTTGCTGCCAGAGCTGTTCGTCGACCGAGCAGCGACGTCGCGCCACATCTCCTCGTGCGTCTTGTAGGCGTTCACCATGGGCTGGAACGCGTGGCCGTGCTCAAGCGTCAGGTCGGAGGCAATGGGGTACATGTCGCCCTCGTCAACGGGAATGTTGGAGCTGCCAACGGCGTGGCGAGAGTCAAGCCAGTGCGTCCACGTGGAGTGAGTGACGCCCTCCCAGGATTCCTCCTCTTCATTGTCAGTCTCAGGGAGCGTAATTGCGTGCGACGCGCTAGTGCCGGCAAACGCCCATTCCAGCCTCTCTCGCTCGCCGCCTTGGTTCGGCAATGGGGTGCTATGGGCTGGGGCGAAAGGTTTGAAGAACCTGATGTCGACGAATGTGCGATTCGGGCTTGTGAGAACGAGGGTAGACGTTGGCTCGAATTGGTGGGGCGGCAGATTCAGCGGATTGTTGTTGGCTAGGTCGAGGGAGTAGGGAACCGGGGTGCCTGCTGGCAGCGGATAGGGCAGGAAGTAGATGTACTCGCGAACCGAGATATTGGCTGAGTCTGCGACGGGACCTGGAGCAGAACTATGTGGCACAGCTGGGCCAGGCAGTGCGAGAGCTTCAGGTGACGAAGCCATACTTGAGACGGAGTCGGCTGGTGTCACGGTGATCTGACTGGAGTCACTGCCGCAGGAACTGGCGGCGTCGCTGTTGTTGTCGAACTGCTCGCTTGCTAACTCAGCAGCTGTAGAAAGGTTTCCTGAAGAATCCATTTTGAAGTTGAGCCTGGTTCAAGTCTTTGAAGTGGGGGGTAAGAGACTGGGGAGACCAACAGCTGTCGCGCACGCGCTCGAGCTCGCGTGACGCGTCGGGCGACTGGTAAGGACCAGTGAATCGAGCTTGAGATGCTGAAAGAAGACCTAGGAGATGGATTAGTGACTGACTGAATGGAGAGAACAGATAACCAGCGCCAAAAACAGCATACACTGAGCCCGAAGCTAGTAGCTTCGCGCAAAACAACTTAAATAGACAGAAGACAACTGCAGAAAATCGGCTCGCATATTGACCTACTATTTCTGAAAGAGATGCTACGTTTATAAAAACGACGCAACGAGCTGGCGATTTGAGGTAGAAACTTGTGTGTTGCGCTGTATGAGGAAGTGTAAGTAGTGGGGTTACCTACTGTGGTTGTTTGGCAGTGAGACCGGCCCCACAACGCTAAGTCAACTTAGGACTTATGGCTACAAACGGTCTACAAACGGTAACTTTCATAGCAAAACTGCTGTGTACGGTATGATAGACTCACATTCACTTCTTTGGGCACATATCACTCTCACTCTCGCAGACATAGATACACGCTCATTTCCACCTCATATCCAACAATCACATTCAGCATCAACTCTAATGCCCGCTGCTCTTCCCACCCACAGCACACGACATTCCGTACAGCATGGCGAGCCGATTCCAGAACCCGACTCTCGAGCAGCAGTATGCCTTGGACCGAGACGGCTTGAAACGCTACTATGACATGTCGGACGCCGATTACCAACTCCAGCTGCAGTACACGCCCTGGCAGCTCATTCTCATGCAAAAGGACTTGAACCACGGCCGCAATGAGCGCGTAGCATCAGTAAGATAAAACTGAGTGGAGATCATGGTAATCCACATAGCACTCTTCGCTAATCTCTTCTCATTCTCAGGGCGTACTGGCCGACAAGTCCCGTTCGGAGAAGGAATCGCCCAAGAAGAAGCAGGGCAAGAAGGGCGACATGGACCTTGCGGCCCTAAAGAAGCAGATTCGGGCTCTCAAGAAGGCCCTTGTAGCTGCCAATACGGCCCTTGCGGCTTTGGAGGATATCGTCGAGGACATGTAGGGTTCCTATCGGGAGTTTTCGGCGTTGTAATACACCAGATTACTTAGGTCTCTTCTTTTACATGGGATAGGGACAATGTCCTTTCAGGCCTTTTCGGCCCTTAAATGAACACAGGTTTCGATAGAAAAATCCCTATTAGTCCATAACTTTAGTGCTTGCTAACTAAAAAAACACGTTTTTCGCTGGCCAATACACTGGCATGTGCATCTACCAACTTGTGCTGATCTTGTGTCCTTGTCAACACTCTCGACATCGCTCTGTAATGCTATCACAACTTGCACAATTCCGAATATGGGAATTTGGCCCTGGAATGTAACGAAAAGAATCAATATGTACAATAGCGGCGTAACTTCCGAAGAAGTAGGCTGAATCTATCAAAATATTAAACAAATCCATAGAAAATAACAGGTCTGAAAGGATAGATATCTTACGAAGTGCATCTTTAGTCGCGTATATAGGTGCTTGATCAGCAAACGCCTGTGACAGTCTTACCCTCTGCTACAGTGACTAACATGCAGCCATATTCAATACATACGGCTTGCAGAGAAGGCACATAGCCTCAAACCAGAAGCAAAGCAACGACATCTCTCCTCTAGTCGCCGAAAAGAATAGTCATAGTGCTTTGTATACCACAAGTTTTAGGACCAGTACACGCTAGTACGTACTCCAACTATCTCACATACCAGTGACTATCCTATTCGACAAATTAACACCTACAAACACACCTGCCTCATTACTCCATCAAATTAAGATAAGAATCTTAGCACGAACCCTAACTTAACTCTTCCTCCTCAGCAGTTCTCAATCAAGTAAACTCCAGCAAAAAAAAAAAAAAAAAAAAAAAAAAAAAAGGAAAAGCAAAAGAAAAATGGACACTGTGGGAATTGAACCCACGACCTTTCACAAACACGCAATTGGACAATGCGAAGCGAACTAATCGTTTATTAGTATATGGCTCGAGCTGAGAACCTTAGATAGGGTGTTAAACTTACAATCATACCCCTAGACCAAGTGCCCTTGAGTGGATTATTGATGGTTAACGAGAATTAAAACATTTATAAGCGGTTAACCCATAAAAAGCGGTAAGTGTCTATGTAACATAGACGTAAAGTCCAACGGTTAACGACAGGTAGAATTTTCTTTGTTAGGCACTGTACGGGTATGACCGGCATGTTCAAAGTGGGGTCGGCTACGGCGGAAGATTAGGATCTTCCATAGTTAGTGTCAAATGGGAGGTCTACCGTATTACATAGTTCCATGTCCACCCCATCACTATTCTTGAACGGGGGCAACAACACCCCTACGAAGGAAAAAATGTGAGTATTCTTGGATGCATTAGTATAGTCTGCAAATACCCCTTACTACTACTAACTGCTTGTACAGACAGCTTGTGTAGCACTATAAAGACTACAGTTTTACAGATCAATCAAGAGCGATCTTACACATCAATTTGCACTTGGAATGTTCTAAAAGTTCTAAGGTTTGGTGTAGTTATAGTTTATGTGCGCTGATTAATTTTGAGATTGCTGCTGACACGTCCAAGAATACTCCCATTTTTTCCTTTCATGGGGGTGACAACATGATTCTCGAATAAACTTAGCAGGTGAGGGTTTCATCAATCATAGAGTCTAGCAAAAGCCTAAACTTCAAAAGGCAAGCATATTATAAAACGCCGGAGAAAGCAAGAGAGGCAGATCAATTGATGTTGAGGAATTCCCATTTCATTTCATCTCAGTGGAGCGAGCTACGCTCACGTCCATCTCAGCTTATATGTATACACTCATCACCTAGGCCGAAGACATACATTCGCCATAACCACCTACAGGTAACTATGACCGTGGCCTACCATACTGCTCTCCTCTCCACCTCGCCACTCCACATCCACGTCATCACCTAGACCTTCTTGCTGGTCGTCTCCTCAGCATGCTTCTCAAGCGGATGCGTAGGGTTCGAGCTCAGCCCTTCCTTGTGGTCATCGCTGACTTGCTGAGCGTTTCCCTCTGATGGTGCGCCACCCTGCTTGTTGACGTTGTCGGATGTCTGGCCTTGCTGCGCGTCCGACTGGCGCTCGGGGTCGGGGGACTGGCGGCCGGGCTGGGGGGCGGACATTTTGAGGAGTTTGGTTGGGATTTGTGTAGGCTGGTAGGTTATTAGAGAAGGGTTCTGAGTGGGGGAAAGGGGAATATCGCGGTGGGAGGGTGAGGGAGGTGGTGGTGTCGGAGTTGGAGTAGAAGGCGGTTAGGCGTACGTTGTCTTGGTTTGGCTGGTACAGATTACTCTGTAGAATCGTCAGAAACACAGCACTCCCAACACAATCTCCAGCTGTAGGAGAACACTAACCTTCGAGATCAAGTGGATAGAAGTTCAATCGTTCGTTGTAGGTGGGAGACTGAAAGTCGCCTGGCTGCCCCGCGTTGCTTTTCACTGGCCATCTCGCCCCACTACAACTGACGTCACACCCTCAAATGCTTCCTGACTTCATCGGGCAGCATCGACGTCAACCTTCATCAATTGATTAAATGTCGCGCCATACGCGTCAATTACATTGCTTACAAAGGGGGGTTGGATGCTTGTTGAGGGATATTACCTTCATGCAGAGCTACCCAGTCTCATTGCTGGTAATTGGTGTCGTAACTATCAAGCCACAGCGGTGCTAAGGTTACATCAGCACCAGTGTCACCCCATGAAGAAGAAAATGTGAGTATTCTGAGATGTGTTAGCATATTCTGCAGACGCCGCTCACTACTAACTACTTGTAAAGACAGCTTATGTAGCACCATGGAGACTACAGAGCGATCTTACGTTCATGCAGAGCTACCCATTCTCATTGCACCGGTGACTTGTATCGTATCGAGCAACAGCGGTGCTAAAGTTACATTAGCACTGACACCCCCGACGAAGAAAAAAATAGGAGTGCTCTTAGATGTGTTAGCATAGTCTGCAGATGCCGCTCACCACCAACTGCTTGGAAAGACAGTTCATTATAGCACCGTGGAGTCTACAGAGCCATCTCACGCATTAAATTGCAGTTTAAACAAACTCATCATCTTAAGACTTAGTATAGTTCTAGCCTATTGCGCTGATTAAAATTCAATGTTGTTGCTGACACATGTAAAAATACACATTTTTTTCTACACGGGGGTGCCAGTGCTTTCGTCTCGATCAGGTGGGAAAGCGGGTCATAACCAGGCTTTAACGACTTATTGACGGGCTGGAGTGTGTTCTCGACACGTGTGTACATGGTATGCGGTCGTTGCGAACGGTGATCCCCAGACTATCCAGAACAATCCGAGCGATCCAGCAATCCAAACCAGGGCCAGAACGGACACGTCTAGACACTACACCATGTGGTAGAACTACTTCCCTCTCATGGCTGATATCTTCCACCGTATGAGAAATTGGTCAAAAGGCAGAAAAACTACGGGTGTGATCGTATTAATCACAAGTTTAGTTAATTATCAGTGCGCCTTCACGAAACATATCACAATATGGTGAACTCAAGACCAGCATCGACGCGCATGCCGAGCTTTGCGATACACAAACAAAGCATGGAGAAACGGCGATGAGATCCTCTTTTCCATTTTGACACATTGAACATTGCTCTGGACTTATGGCGCTTATTGCAGGGTGTATTCATGCTACGTATCAATAAAAGAGGCAAAAGATAGCATTGTCATATCAACTTCCCCATCTATATAAGTGTCAGGATGTCCGCGGACATTGTTGAAGGATCTCCTTTTGCAATAGCGAGCCTCTCCGCCTTCTGGAAGGCCTTGACTTTGGAGTCGATTTCGCGTTTTGGCATTCCCCTAGTCTTTGCTTTGGCTTTGAAACGCCGCACTGGATTCGCAACGCGGATGTGGTATTCGTGGCGTTTTGATTGAGCATCTTGGAGTTCGTCTGATGTCCATTTCTCCTTCCTGTCACGGGCGATGTCTGCGGTTCGCTTGTTGATTTCTTCTGGTGTCATGGCCTGTACCTGTTTTAACGCCCTCATGATGTCGGTGCGAATTGGAGAGGCAAGATTTGTACCAGTGGAATGCAACTTCTGACCAAACCAAGGCCCAAGGCACGCAAGCTCTTTCTGTGCGCCTTTGGCAGCGCTGTGCGCATAGGTGCCAAACCAGATCATGAACACTTGCTCCGCTAGTACACAGATAAGCCTAGTAAGAGTGACGTCTTGAGCAGCTGAAGACAACCAGGTCATTGTCATAACAATGTAGAAGACGACCGTCCGTCGAGGGTCCTTCAACACATTGTAGAATAGGGACTGTCCATGCTTCCTTACATAGTCAATTGACGTTCCCTAATTCAGGTGCGAACAACTGACAAGAGTTCCTTCTCTCGATAATCTGGATTCGAATGTTGGGAGGTCCGGTGCGACAGGCCTCGACCAACTCTTGTTGCAGACCCGGTATATGCAAAGCAACTGGTGGCCTCCTCGACATCGACCCCTTCCACGAAGCCCAGATAGGTTCCGGGATCAGTCATGTCTGAGATGATTTCTAGACTCTTCATGTCATCTGGCGATGGAGGATTGTCCCTTGGGAGTAGGTCCTTCACACCCTCTCTGGTACCCTCAGATATGGCTTTGGCCCAGAATTCCGTGTCATGGCCCGTTAGGTCTTGTTTCCATTGCCTCGTCAAGGACAGAGAGCTCATATTGCGTAATGCGTCAATGATTCCTCTGAGGCGAGATTCGAAAAGCGGGAATTGCATGTCGAGGAAGCGATGTCGAGGGAGCGAGGCGTAGCGAGGTGAGGGTGATGAGGTATGAAAAAACTTCAGAGAGGGTAGATGCAGGGTGCATTGCAGGCCGCTCTTGCCTCTTGAAGACGGAGGTTCTTCAGAGGGCAAGAGCAAGACCGACCTTTCCGTCAGACCTCAACTCCGCTTCCCCATCTCTATATCCCCATCCCCGCCATCTTCCTCGTCATCCCACTCATTGCCTTTCAAACGTTTTCCCACCCACAACCCCATCATCGTCACCGCACTAGCCGTTAGAAACCAGCCTTCGAACCACCTCTCCGTGAACCCTGGTTCAAGCGGAGCACCAAGTGCATCGCCAATCTTACTCTTCATCTCAGGCGGAAGGTTACTCCTGAGCAACAACGCAGAGCTGATCACATATGTTGCTGCGATCTGCGAGATGATCAATGCGAAATTGGTTTTGGTGTGATGTAAGAGGCCAGGAACGACACGGGCGAAGAGGAAGAAGGTTTGGAGAACGCTGTTGAAGGAGAGGAGGAGCATGACACCGGACAATAGGAACGAGATCGTCCGGCTCCAGGCTACACGGTCGATGGTCGGGTCCCAGTGTTTTGCTAGCAGCGCAAGGAAGTTGTTGATAGGATCGCTACTCGAAAAGCTGGTGTTTGGGGAAGAGAACCGGCGGAGTGTTGTGAAGGTAGTGGCTGTAATACGATACGCACAATACAGTGCGAATACGTATGAGACCATGTTGAATAGGCGTCCGTGTGCGGTGTGCGAGCGTTGCTGCGACTGCCGACGGTTTTGTAGGACCGTGAGGGAGTTTTGAAGGGTATGACGCATCGTCTCGAGGCCTTGAATCTCGAGATGTAGCGTGTTTCGCTCTTGAACATCTGGGTTGCCCCGTATTGTGCCAACTACACGACCCATGAAACCTTGTTGTGGATTATCAGAGAGCTTACGCTCGACGGCGCGGAGTCGGCTTTCTTTGGCCAGGAGCATGTCGTTCGTTGCTTGTATACCAGCTTGCTTTCGTCCAATGTCTGATTCCGTGACCTTTTCAATTAGCATGGTTCAATGCATAGAGTTAACACTGAGCTTACCGGGCGATTTTTAACTCCAAAAGTCTGCCACAGCGAGGAGATTGCTGCAAAGCCAGCTAAAGATGCCATCAGGCTGATACCAATAATCCCTATCCTCTCTAGGCAGCCTTCGCTGAATGTATGTGCGTGCAGATAAGACTCCTCATGCAAGTATGACCCTAGGAGACCTATGCCAAGGTACCAGAAACCTGCAAGCCATACTGC